TAATATTAATTGTCTGCATTGAGTAGGGTACTTGGCGATAGTTTAAATACATTTTGCTGATATACTTTTACTCAAGTAATATTTTCAATTGATTATTTTTATAAAGCAGTATTGTTACTTTTACTTAAGTAAAGAATCTGAATATTTTCTCCAACATTGCTTGAAGATTATGTGGAAATTATTTGAAACTTTTACGAGAGGAATTAGAGATTTGTGTCTTTGTCACAACTTCAAAATGTTTAAATATGCTTTAATGCATTGCATTTTTGATTTATTGTAAAAAATATATATATATATAGTTATACTGATAAATACAGTTATGTATTATGAACATTAAACTGCATACAAAGATCTATTGTAACAGGGATAAACAGTGAAAGTGAAGTCATATGATTATGGTCAGTGGAGTCATATTATAATTATTAATGAGGTGTGTCATAAAGCGCCACAACTCATCCAGTCACTGTTGTTTACAATAGTGTAATGTAGTACATTTACTCATTTCCATTTTATGCTACTTTCTATTTCTACTACTCTACATTTATTAGACATTAGTTACATTGCAGATTCAGATTATTAATAATATAAATGAATATGATGTATGTTAAAATACCCAGGGGAAATTATTAAAGTTAAAGTAAATGTACTCAATGCATCACTAATAATAATTCAGTAATATGTGATTCTCAAATGGGCCATTCAGCATTAATGAGTTCTTTTACTTTTGGTACTTTAGTATATTTTTATGCTAATACTTATGAAATAGTACGATTTTCAGTAACAGTAACCTAACCCCAAGAAACTGCTCATGGGCGCCGCTAACGTGGCAAGCCCATCACTCCACCATCTCTCTCCCTGTTTGCATGTCCACAAGTGCATGAAGTGTGCATTTCAGCCTGTGTGTGTGTGTAAGAATTAAAAAAAGAGTGAAAAAAAGAATTTCCCCAATAGGGGATTAATAAAGTATATATCTTCTTCTGTAGTATTACACTGCTTCTTCCACCAGTGGTTGGTTAGTTTTGCAAAAACTGTTTTATGTATTTGTTTTGTTCAAGAGGGACCTTACAGATAAACATTGTTACATAAAGACGAACAATACAACAGATGTGATGTATCCAAGGCGTCCAGCTGAAGCTAACTCGCAGCCGCCATCCGTGTTTCTAAAGGTGAGTTTTGAGTCACAGAGGTGATGTGATGAGTCTAAAAAATCCCCTCAGCTAATAAAACAATTTGAGGTGTTTATGTTATTTTGTCCCCCTTACCCAAAGAGGATGCGCAGAGGGTAGACAAAATAGAAGCAACACTTTACAATATATATAATATATGTATATACAGTCCTATGCATCAACTAAATTGATGGTAACTGATTTTGAATTAGCACCTCTGTGACACACTGAACACTAAAAGATTCATAAAGTTAATATCTGAGTTATCTTGTGTTGGAGATAAATATACATAAGTTAATTTGTCCAGTTTTTTCTTTTTAAATGTAATAATTACATAAACACATGTATGTCCCATCAACTTCAGTGTGCCGCAGTAAACAGTAAAGCCTTTGTGCTCCAAGTGGTTTGAGAGCTTTTGATCTTTTCACAAATTGGCATGATATCAAATTAAATCTTGCATATGATGATAAGTATGAATGGAGGGCTGTTACAAGGTGTGTCAAAATCTCACTCTATTATTAAGTTGGAGCCACACCTTAGTTTTATCTGGTTTGTTTTATTTGGGCTTAGCAACAATGAGTCACTGCAGCCAATGCGGAGAGCATTGTGCAGCGTGGGAGCATGACATATTACATGTACATGGTTTCTACCTGCCTGGATATCTGGATACAAGTTGAGAAACACAATACAGGAGCAGAATAAACCTCTCGATACAACTGAATCAAAGTGTAAATAATCATCTCTGCTCTAACTTCTTTATGACATGAGCCACAGCCTGTCTAAAAGTTATTCAATCAGCCAATCATTTCCCTCGAGGACAGTGGAGGATTTCATTTCCCATTTAGGTTCATTTAGTTTTACACTAAGGCATGACCGCTTGCCTCCTCCTTCCTGGTTTCCTCATTACCTGTGAAATCACCTTTTAGTTGTTTCTTCACATTCCCTCCAAATGTGTTCACCCTTCACTTCACGTTCATTGTCACCACATATTTGTAAGTAGAAACAATCAGTCACAGCTTCACATGCATGTGCTCAATATCCCTTAATGAGTCTGAGAGCAACAAAGCAATACAGTGAAGGAATCTGGTCTAAATATAATAAATGAATTAAAAAATTTAATATAATAAATTTTGACTCACCATTACCATTGAGTCTGAGTTGACTGTGAATGTTCTCCTCTCTGATGTCGTGAACCTGCTCGTCTGTGCAGGTGATCTGATCTGGTAGGATATTAGAAAGCATTAAGTTATAGTAACAAACGCCGCCCTGAAAATTATAAGTCTAAATGCAGGGCTCACACAAAACAAAGAGATGAGTCAAAGGACAGTATGACACCACAGGGTGTGTACAGGAGAGGGTGACAGAGAGTCTGACTGTGATTTATCTGTTCAGAACCAGAGAGAAAAGACAAACTACATCAGGCTGTTTAGTCGTGATGTTACTTTTCTAGGGAAGTCTTCATGGGAAATTACTGAGGCTTTCATGTTAGAAAGTTGCACGATACATTTTATTTTGGGTTTTTATTTGACGTCAGTGCTGACTTTACTTTTTTAAGGATGTTGCAACATTTGGTCGATGACTCAGTCAGCACAATCTATTAAAGCAGCTGTTTCACTGAATTCCCAGCCCATTCGGAGGTACAGAGTGACAGAAATCAGCCCAAAGGTTATTGACTCAGGGCAAAATGTGTATGTGTGTGTGTGTAAGGAGGTGTGTGTGTGTTTGTGTGTGTGCGTCAGAGAGAGTGATTTCATGAGAGAGTGAGAGTGACAACTTCATTCAGCCTGCTGTATGCGTCAGGAACCAAAACTACAAACATTACAAAAACATACAAATAAAACAATATAATAAGTCTTATTCTTATTCTTATTCGTCTTATTATTATACACTTCCCTCATTGCATGCAGAATAATTCTCCTGTTGTGGAAATCTAAAAATCTAAATTTCTATTGATAGATTTTATCTCTGTTGGCAATCAATAATCAGTTATTATTTATCAGCTGCCTGCTAGTGAAAGTTCACAATAGAAGTATGCTTTGGGCCACCCAGCCCTTTTGAGGAGTTATGTGTGCATGGTTATGGGTGTACAGGTTCTCGTGTGTTCATGTTCTAATTATTGAGCCTGCACTCATGGACAGCTCTAGAGGGGTGGCTAATTAGAAAGACAAAAAAATACAAAATTGGATGAAGACATCCCAACTTTTAACTGTTAATTACCAACAAGATTGCATTTATATTTTTCATTATCTTATATATTATTAGGATTGTCACTTTTCATCCAGGTCAGAACAATAAGTAGCTTTACTTGTAATAGACACAACATTGACCTTTCTGTTCAGTGACCCAGTGAAATCCAGAATATTCACTCTCTTTCTGTCTCTGCCAACTCCTGAGGGAAATATCTGGCTCTTCAGCTGTTAAATACACATCAGTTAGTCGCTAACAGTGTCTGTCTGCTGCTCAGCAGGAACTGTACAGTTGGCGTTTAGAGCATTTTTGTCTGTTGTGGCCAAACATAACGCTGTGAGAGTGGTGAGAGAGTGGTGTTTATGTGTTATATAGGCTACACATGAACAAATATGTGCGACTAATAGCCTAATACAGCGATCTGCATGAAATCCTCCCTTCATGAAGGTTATAATGTTTTAGAAAAGGTGTTGATTCAGCTTTATGGTGATTTTGGAGTCAGGCTGCTGTTGACTACCATTATGTTGTCCTCAAATGATCTTTTCACCAATCAAGTCTCATACAAATATAAGTAAACATGTTTGAGCTTGGTGGCATGCTAGACAAATTTTTTAAACTTTGTCACAAGTGACAACACAAGTGCCGTGTCCTCGGATGAGAAAATAAACCTGTTGGCAGAACAAACACTGTGTGTGCTGGGTGTGTCTGCTTCCACAATGCCAGAAATACAAGTCAGTTGAGTTTCTAACGTGTTCAACGGTGCTACAGTGGGAAAGGTTGTGCCAAACATGGTGTGGATAGCACACTGCCCCCTTCTGGTGACTCACAGTAAACACCGTGGGCCTGTGAGCAGGTTTGAAAAAATAAGTGAACTAAAGAAAAGAGGTTGTTGTGCAGATTGAGTACTTACTGTAAATATGACATAATGTGAT